TATTCCGCGCTCGGTGATAGTCGACAGTCGTGTCGTGGTTCGCGGAATATTCCGCGCTAGGGTGCAAATTAAATAAGGGTGCAAGGGTGCAAGACGAATAAATCTTTAAGAGCTTTTAAAGTCAGTCTTTTTTGCAATCTTGAAAAGTGTGCCAGTGTGTCAGTTAGAGAGTATTTAAGTAGTCCAAGTCAGTCCAAGAAAAATCAGAAAGCAAGCCCACTGAGAATCACTCTTGTTTCATAGCTGTTATTATAGTTATCAGCTTATTTCATTCTATTAGGAAGCCAACAATCTTAAATCAATCCACCCAAAATCCGATCCCTACGTTTATATCATCTCAAATGACTTTCATTTATTCTATCTCATTACCATTCACACGTATAAAACCTACACGTCAATAAAAATTAGTCAATAAAAATCGTTAATTCTGTTTTATAATATATTTATTAACGTTTAAATAAAGGGGTGGAATTAAGTGCGCTACATGTTGGTTCGAATATAACTAAAAGGTTTCCGACACTTCATACGTACTCCGGAAAAAGGAAGACCACGATACTTTTAAGTAGATTCGCAAACCTGGATAAAATACGTGCGAGTACTGCACAAGTGCCTTGAGAAAATCGCAGCACTATTAAAGCTAATGAAAATTCCTTCATTGCGAAGGCTCGCTTTAATATCAACTTAATTTACAGCAAACAACTGGCAATTAAGTAAACGCAAGAAAAAATGTATTAAACACGGAATATATTTTCATTGGATATTCGATATATGTCAATGCACGCAATATACGTCGCGGATGAAATAAAATAAAAATTTCTTTCATAAATTGGACGGAACTGTAGAGATGAATTATACAAATATCGGAGAGAATGAAAAAGGGTGACTATGACAAAGGCGACGGACCGGTGAGTGCAAAGGATTGAGCATTTTTGTTGTATCGAATATCGAGCGCTAATGGTCAACAGTGAAAGGGATAAATAAGGTCCCAAAGTAATGTGCGAGCCACTGAAAGGAGACTTCCGGCAAACTGGAAACTTCTACTTATCGGTTGCTTAACGAACGACGAAGCGAGAGGAGAGGCTATTCAACGCAGTCAAACTCAAGAATAAATTAAGTTGAATCAATTCTGGTTTCCACTCACAGACTTCCCCGAGTGTCGTCCAATTCGATTCGATGCGTCACTCTTTCGTTGTCAGCGCTACATAGTATTCATTTATCTCTTTCCCTCCTTTCTCGCCCGGAACAAAAACCAATAATTATGTGCGAATGCATACCTTGCTCGAAATTTAATCCTCTCACATTTTTCAACTTTCAGTGGAATTACGAGGTCCTGCGATTTTTAAGTTTCATCGAGTACCACTGGCGGAAAAGCGCGCAGCTTTTCATCGCGAAAATGAATAAAATCATACGCCCTTGGTAATTAATCATATATTACCTGTATTACTTAATTTCTATTTTAATTTTATCGCTGTTCTCGTTGAAACTCTTCTTGCTATCAGCGCAGACTTATATCCTTCTTATATATTTATATCGTACCAGCTCTGGGAAAAGATGAATCCTCGAGTGTAATTTCTGTACATTTCATAGCGAATCTGATATATAATTAAATGGTCAGGTACATCTCTGTGAAACTGAACACGTTTATAAAGCGTGGACGATGAAGGAAGGCAAATTTTCGTAAAACTAAGACGTTTCTTCGCTCTTCTAATGTCCCACCGTCGTATTTTAGCCCCGATATGTACATTTGTGCAGCTAAATGCAGTTGGTATATAGGTAAATGTACAGGATCGACTTAAAATCGAACTCACGTTCGTGTCTCCTCTCAGCGTCGCTTTAAATCGGTATCTCGTTACGACTGGCAAATAAAATGTTACGAAAAAATGTGAACAGGGTTGAACGAAAATAAAGGGATAAAAAGGGATGCGAAATAAAACCGGAAAAGAGATTTGTAAATTGAAAAAAAAGGGGGTACCGAAGATTTGGTCGAGATTGGATGAAAGTAGGGAAACTAACGATGACACGGATAAAAGGAAATAATAGGTAATTGTGGGAAAGAGAGCTGGCTAGAGGAAAGGAAACGAAGCGAAGTGGAAAGGGATGAACAGTAGATGGAGAGAACAAGGCAAGAAAGTTGAAAATCGATTCATTACAAAGATGGTGCAACTTATGGACGAAGATATCGAAAAGAAGTTTAGATATAGAAATGTAGGAAGGAGCGAAGAAGCTCTAAAATGGTTCGAAGAAAAATATTTAGTAAAAGGAACGAAGAAATTAGGGAATTTTTAAAAATTAGCACGAATATTTTTCTTCTTCTTGTTTTTAATTATTAATTATATTTTTTGTTACACCTTTCTTATTGGTTTGATATGAAGATAATAGTTCAAAGTATTCGCGTTGTTTTAAGAAAATATTTAACACTTTGACTGCCATTTGCTTTTTATATGGTATGTTCAGGGGGGCACGATAAAATTTCCATTATTCTTATGATATAATGATGAATTACCAAATAATATGGTAAAAAAAAAATAATGGCGCAAATTATTAATGTCTTTCATTCAAAGTTTTCTATTTATTTAAATATTCAAAATATAATATAATAATATTCAAAATTTAAATATAATATTGTTCAAATATTCAAAAATTGGTTAGGATAAAACGGATATAAATTTAAAAAATTAGTATCTCCGAACGCTGATGACCACCATGGCCCCATTGAGGAAGCAAGCACGATCGTGGCAATCAACGTGTTAAAATATATCCTCGTTCCTTGATCACCAGCTCGGTCACTTTTATATCAGCCGCGCATCTCGTTTATTAAGCGAACGTTGTAACTGTGAATTGCAGCGAGCAAGATATGCAAATTCGAGAAGTTTCTCACGTGCATCGTATCTGTTTCAGGCGGTGCTTTTCCACCTGAATTTGCTGGTCCCATCACGAATCTAACTGTACCGGTCGGAAGGGACGCAACTCTTACGTGTTTGGTCAAACATTTGGGGGGTTATAGGGTAAGTTCTCCCTATAAAAATGCGCGATGGCAGGACATGCATATGTCCGCTAGCTTTTCCACTTACTTAGCATATTTTTTATTTTTCTCGTCTCGTTTTCTCGTGCTACGACATCTCTTGCGAGAGGACAGAGCACGTTTTTCAGACATTCATCGAGAGTATCCCACCAGTCTTCTTTCGTTAGGAATTACAAAATAAATTTGCCCTATCGATTTACGTAATCTTGAAATTTTCCTCGTATAACTTAGAACTAATTTAGAAAATATCTGCTTCGAGTTACACTTTCGAATTTTCTCGCAAGTGTAGTCTATAAAGAACATTAACCCTTTCACTGTCACGACGAAATCACATGTTTCGATCAGGACGCCATGAGAATATTTTCATTACTCAAAGCATATAATGGCAAAATAATAATAAATTGGCGATGTAAGACAACATTCTTACCAAATAGAGCGTTTATCATATTGGCGGTCATTGGTGACCACCGGTGGCACCTTGGTAGCAGCTGACAATCAACTAACCGTCAATTTTCATTCAATTTTTACAATTGTAAATAATTCAAGAGCTCTGGTCACCAATGACCACCATGGCGTCACAGCAGAAACCATGACTTGCCATATATAACCACAGTGGCAGTCAAAGCGTTAATTTAAATAAAGCGTTAAAAGAAGTGTTTAAAACCTTTAATCGAAACTTCCAAAATTTTCTCGCGGTCCTCTCACATTATAAATATTCGATACACAGACGCAATTAAAGTTTCAATCGCTCTACAACACGTAAAACCTTACACCGTTTTGTTTTCTGTCAAGTTAGTTTGAAAAATGCAACGTGCTAATTGTCGTGTCAGGTTAGGTTAATATTTACAACGCTATTGTAAATTTACAATTTCCATCCACGACACGAACGTTAAGCAAAATTTTGGAAGGTGTACGACAACCTGTAAGACCCTCGATCATTTCCCCGAATTGATTTCGGTACAGCTTGATTCCGGACACCAAATAACCCGCTTCGACACTTCAGCGGACTTGTAGAACTTCGCCAAACAAGACATCCCCGCTCATACTTAACCGTATACGTTTAATCCTACACACAGCCGGGATAAATTTCAATTACATCTTTAATAATAATCTAATTGCAAGATTTCAATTTTTCAAAGAAATTTTGTCAATATATTTATAACGTGCCTCTCCTCTCCTTATTATCGTATCATCCTGATATCTCTCCCTCAATTTGAGATTCCTCCACATTCGTCAAGTTTCCAAAATATATCGTATAATTAATACCACATCTTTTCATTTTTCTTTCCTTTTCTTCCAAAATTCGCATCTTCCATAAAAATCCCAATTTTCCTTTTTCACGTAATGTTAAGTACATCAAACGAGAAAGAAAAGGAAAGAAAAAGAGGAGGATGGTGCTAAAAAGCGTTTGGTAAGGAGACTTGGAAGGAATTTCACAATATCCGTATTAATGGAACTTTGTGCGTTCACCTAATCGTCGTGTATATTATTTAATCCGCAGCACGCACAGGGAAAAGGAAAATTGGCGCGATACCGTATTCCTCGGTTCATCTTTATCTTCGCGATATTACGTATCACAGATTCACGATCTTCCTCTGCATAATGTACACCTTTAATATTGTTCGCATTCACTCCGTTATGACTCACTCCTTAACCGAAGATAGTAACAAGCAGGCAAACTTTTAAAGGGGCAACGGAAAACGGAAAGAAATGTCAAAACGATGGAAAGGAGACAAAGCAAACAATCAGCGAAACGGTTTCTATCTAACTCGGGATTGTAAGAGGACAATAAGCGTACAAAATAAGGATTGGTCGATAATACTAACATAAAATTTCCTTAGCTCTTGTGTACACAGTGTGATTTTAAAGGGACACGATAAACATCGTAGAAACTTCAATAATTCGTCTGACTTATTATCTTCTTTGTTCCTTTGAAGCTGTTAATACCGAGAAATACGCTCCGCCATTTTTATCTCCAAAGAAATTACATTTTGCATTCTCCATTTTGTGAAAATATCCGTCGATGGGTATTTAATATTTCTAATTAATGTAAAATTTCCTTAGCTCTTGTGTACACGGTGTGGTTACAAAGAGATGCGATAAATATCGTAGGAACTTACATAATTCGTCTGACTTATTATCTTCTTCGCTCCTTTGAAGCTGTTAATACCGAGAAATACGCTCCGCCATTTTTATCTCCAGAGAAATTACATTTTGCGTTCTCCATTTTGTGAAAATATCCGTCGATGGGTATTCAATATTTCTAATTAACGTAAAATTTTCTCGGTTCGTGTGTACACGGTGTGGTTTTACAGGGATGGATAAATATCGTAGAAATTTAAATAATTCGTCTGACTTATTATCTTCTTCGCTCCTTCGGAGTTGTAAATGACGATAAATATGCTCTGCCATTTTTATCTTCAAAGAAAGCACATTTTGAAACCTCGAATGTGCGAAAATAATTATCGACGAGTATCCGAATAGTTTGAGAAACAATATTTCGAAAACGATTCTTATCGCTTTATTCAGCACATTCAGCTAACCTCAATATACCCCAAAGCTGTGGTTTTGCATATTTATAAAATCGGAATATTTCTGCTAAACGTTATCGTGGAAATTTTTTACGCGTGCTTTTAATGGGGTATTCCCATTCTTCATGGGTAAATAAATACGAGTCCGTTATTGTTTAATTGATATTAGGAACAATAGCTCGATTGTTCTCATAAATTGCTCGTGTCCAAGAGATTTATCAATATATCGTGTTCCGAGCAACTATCTTCCGGCACCAAAACTTTTCACGAACAGCTTATTATCGGACTTTTCAAAGTAGCTTATTACCTATATTAAATATCGTAAAATTCTTAACTTCCGTGGAATGTTTGTGTCAGCGTTGGAATATCCCCGACGTAACGTTCATCCCCGATTTCGTAATAAAACATTTTATTAATCGTAACACTGCGTAAGTTCATCATCGCATCCACTGTGTCTCGTATTTTTCCCTTCTTTTCCTCATACAAACTTCTTTCGAGAGTTATAATTTTTGTTTCCCTTACAATTGTTTACTTCGTTCGAGTTATCCTTGCGCGAAGAATGACGGCCATTGTGGAAGAAATCGATTTATTCGTATCTTACTTTTTTTAAATAATAAAGTACATTCTAAACGCATAATTAACGCTATACTTGTGATTTTATATATCTGTAATTACAAATTAAAAAAAAAAACTATATATTTGTAATTACAAATATTTTGTTATTTTCTAGGAAAATACATCTATCGAAATAAATGTTTCCCATCTCGTAGGTTTACGCGAAATGATACATTAAATGATAAATTTAAGAGGCAAGCCAACACGGTGGCGATATTAAGAAAGAAGAGAGCTTGTTCGAATGCATTATTGTTCTGAAATTTCAGTATCGGTATCCGATAGAAATATAAAATCAATATATCAGGTCACCGAAACAAACCAATCTCTCTGAATATTTTGAATTCAGCACAGAAATTTCGCCTAATACAAAAAAAAATATTACTTATTCCGACGTCTATGATATCGATGCAAATTATTGAAGATGCTGATCCGGGACACCTCGACATACCTAACCTAATCTAAGGGGTATACATAAGGGGTCGATCAAAGTCTATTTTCGAGACATTTGCTGAAACTGTTCGATACCTTTGACATTTATGACGTCATTTCGAATACACGTAACCCTCCTATAACACGGTAGATAGGTTCCGTGTTTTGTGAAACCGTGTTGTACGAGACCCGGAGCCAGTACAAAAATGGGGAGGGGGGGTACGTTCCGAAAACTTATTAAAAACAAATTTCTTTTCTAATTATACATAAATAACTTAATTTTGATTAAAAATACAAACGTATGTGCAACAGAAAACAAAAAAGAAACAAAAATATTATTTTAATTTAACGCAAGTTTAAGTTAATAAATTTCTCCGTCGTCACTGCTCATGTAGAAGTACTTATAGTGTTGTACAAAGGTTTTTGCACTTTACTTATCGTATTTTCTCAGAGCGAAACCGTGTTATAGAACGCCGTGTTGTAGGAGGGTTCCCGCAATTTATGAATCGTGTTATAGTGAAACCGTGCTATAGGATGTCGCGTTGTAGGAGAACTACCTGTACATCTACCGCGTAATTGCTTTCTGTACTTTCAACGACCAAAACAAATTTCCAAAATATTTTTTCGAGTTTCAAAAAATGTTTCATCGCGTTAGGCATAAGAATTGATCTGCTACAAGACGATGGAGAAAAAAGTTTGAAAGGAATCATATATAGTTCATGGACCGTTAAGATGTCAAGCTTATTCGAGGAAATTTCGCGAGATAAATCCAACTTACTCGCGGATCAACGCGAAACAATTTTCGCAGCGCTATTTCCTCCATTTTTCGCGCGCATCTTTCACTGGAGATTAATAAATTGGACCACGTTAGCCGGGAGAAATGCAAACAGCTTTCCCCTCTTGCCTGTCGAAACCAGGCCGGAACAAAGAATGCGAACACTTTGTGAACTATCGAAGAATTAATACAGATCTTAAATTACAATAATACGAAAGCCTTTCATCCCCCCAGGGACTCGATAGAAGAATTATATTTTTCTCTAGACCTGCCGCCGAGTAGACGTTTATTCGTTGCTTTTATTTCCTTGTAATGTCGCCACCATCAATTTATTCTGTTTCCAGCCACTCGGCAGACTGCCTGTCCCACGGCGATTGTCACTTCTACTTATAATACTTTCCAATCCTATTACCGCTGTTATGAGACAAACTGCTCCAAGCTTGTCTTCTCCAACATCTCCCGGCTTGACTTTGGCTTATCTTTGCCCCGGAATTCCTCCTTCCGCTCCTTTTAACGCGTAGTCTTTAGTTTAACGAAAAAGTGTCGTGCCTCTTATTTCATTATCTCGGTGATGTCTCGGTTCGACTCTCAACTTTCTGTCCTATTCTTACCGCTTCCAACCCCCTCCGCCCT